TAAAAGCTCTTGGAATCACAATTTTGGATTTCCATTTCAGGGTTAAATCCTCCAAAATGAAGGGGTTTGGGGATCCATGTTTGGCCAAAAAATGGAGGGGTTGGTTTGCTAAAGTTTTTTTGGGGGTGGAGAAAGTCTTAAAATTACACATCCCAGAAAGTTCCGAGATTTGAGGCGGTTTCAGAGCTTTTAGGATTAGCGAGGGGGCAAAATCATACTTCAGTAATTTTTTTGAACCATTTTCTCTTCCAGGAGGTAATGGGGCTGTATTCCATTATGCACTTCTTTTGAAAGGTTCATTGATTATAGACATTTCAAAAATATATCTCTTGATCGGGTTCTCAATTTCTATATGGAACAACTGACATAACTAGAACTTTCATTTTGATACACCTTCACTAGAGGAAAAGACAAACTATACGCTAGTTTGAAAGGGCAATTTAGCCATTGAGAGAGCAATTTTCCCTAAGGGAACAAATGGATATCAATTAGATGTACTGGCTAGGCAATATCTATGGGCCAATGAGTTAGACTTCCAACATGGTACTGGGCATGGTATAGGTGCATTATCAAGTGTACATGAAGGACCTATAGGAATAAGTAAGAGAGCAAATTTAATTAAATATCCATTACAATTGGGAAATATTGTTAGCAATGAACCAGGATATTATAAGAAAGGATGTTATGGTATTCGTATTGAAAATGATTTGTTAGTTGTACCAGTAAATAATGGTGATAGTTCATTTCACAAATTTTTAAACATAACATTAGTCCCATATTGTCGTAAACTTATTGATGAATCCTTATTGACTGGAATTGAAATAGAACAATTGAATAGCTATTTCCATAAAATCAGAGATTCGATCTTACCGTTGCTGGAGGACGACAGTGATGCCTACAATTGGATAATAAATGAAACAAGAGAAATACGAGGCTATGTTAGAACATCTAATTAAAGTACTGGTAAGAGAACAATGGCTGGTTATTTTCCTGATAATAAAGGGAAGAATGGTATTGCATCAAGAAAATCTAAGTCCTCTGTTCTTTTTTAAATTTTTGATTTGCTCTGTTTTAACTGTGGTTATTGTATCTGCAAGAACCAGAAGTAGATGATGCACCAATATGAAACTATTTGATAATTTCGTTGCGGCACCTTGGCAAAACATGCAGTTACTCCAAATTGAGACAGTATAAATCTAATTCAGTATCAGTAAGTGAATTAATTAATTCTTCAACATGTTGTTGATATTTTTATAAAAATTTGATTGTTTATTTATTCAATGGTACTGCAGCATTCCATTGTAAAATATTTTAATTAAGCCAAGATGTGATATGGTATTTCTTTTTACTTATACAATGAAGACTGGCGTCCTTTCATCTCTTGGTCCATGTATCGAAGAAAAGTATTGTGAACACATATACGCTTGGATTTGTCTCTTGCGACTGGTGAGGTATCAGTTATGAGAAATTCAAGATTTGAAGAAGATTCAATAGACAACAATAAGTGAGTAGGATGGAATGATCTCTTGGGAGATTAAGGATTTTTGAAGTATACAGCTGACAGATGAAATAAAAACGTATATTCAACAAAAGATAAATAACTAAGTAAAAAGTAAATATGCAGACACAATACTACACATGATCCAAATGATATCAGTACATTTACTATCACAACAATTTGAAATAAACCGAAATTAAATAAAACTAGACTAAACTTAGGACAAAGGTAGCAAGGAATATTACAAGTCTCGGAGGCAATTGAGGTTGTCTAGCCAAATGTTATGGTTCCAGGGGGTAGTTTAATTGTCAAGAATGAAATGTTTTTTTTTTACAGTTCGTAAACTTAAAAAGCAATATGAGACTACAATTTCATGCAAATAGTTCAGTTCATTAAATGAAGCAGTGGACACCAAAATAAAAACTGGCAAAAAAAAACTATCCCAATTTTCTCCATAATGGGACAATTTACACTACAGTATATACATCTGCTAGCTCTCCCTACTTTCCCAATAGATCATCATTGCCTTGCACATATGGATATGGCTATAGGTATATAGTTTTTTTTCACTGATTGAATTAGTTTCCTTACGTTTCCAAGAGGGTACCTAGTGCTGAAAGCAGACCATAGAGATAAGTTGAAGAAGAGTCCCCTTGTATGCCAATTGTTGCTACAGCTTAGTTCCAATCTAGAAGTCAAACAAAGTCAAAGTGAACGGTCTGGATGGAAAAGCTCTAAGAGGGCCATCTCATCGCCTGCTTTCCTTCTAGTTTTCACTTGATTGATAACATAAAAGCATTCTAACTATTAAAAACTATATGAAATCATACATGAAGAAACTCAGACTGCAGTGCATTACATCAGATGGCAATGGTTTTGTCTTGTCTAGTCTTGTCTTGTCTTATCCCTCTCCCTCTCTTGATTTCTTTCATAGCTTTACTTCTAATCGAATCGAACCAAAATCAAGTCAAGGAGAGAAGAGTACTGTAGAGTAGACACTTGGTTGCATGGTTGATTTCTTTCGATGGTTTTCTTGTTAAAGGTCAATACTAAGTTCAACAACGCAAGAAATAGGTAGATACAGGATGGATAAGATGCCTTGTTCTTCTAGAAACGTCAAAAGGGAGGTTAGTTTGACAGGGGGTTGGACGATAGTGTGTTTGTTGTTTGTTAATATTAGACTATTTACTGTAGGCTCTCTTGTTCAACTGTATGTCCCCTTCCTTCTCATTACGTTGACGCAAACCTGTGTTGTCTTGCGTTGCGGTGTGGGTTTCTGGAGGTGGGATAAAGTTCAGTTGGTGATAGCCTCAAGGTCTCTTTCTCTCAGGTTTTTCTATTGTTCATTCTTGGATGGATAAATGAAACCATCTTTTCAATTCTTCGTTATGCACAAGCTCTTGTACCCAACTTTAACCTCTCTCTCTCTCTCTCTCTCTTAATCGTTCTTGGTAAAAAAGGTTTTCGAAATTGGAATTTGTAAAGTAGAAGAGGGCCTTAAAGCAGGGAAGGAAATGGGCACTTGGTAGTTGTAGTTGTAGTTTGTTTGTTTGTTTTTTCAGATAGGTTGGATATATTACTATACTCTTAGTAATACGTGGCTTCTTAGAAGTCATTGTTCTTTAACAAGGATTATTGTTAGCTTATTATAAATAGAAGAGGATAAACTAGCTAGGGAATTGCTTCTGATGGATATCAGTTTTTAATTAATTTAATTTAATTTGGTTTATTTTCAAATTGGTTTTAGTTTAAACTTAAATTTTTCAAGAGAGATTAGGTTCAAATTAACAGGAAATTGCATTATTCATACGTTATAAATTTTATTTTGTTATGGTTCTTCTATTCGAGTTCTCGTGTGGGATATTGGCCTTTTCTATAGGTTCTCTTTCCCTTTATTTGCATGTCTCTGTAATGTCTGTTTTTGTTCTATATGCTTTCCTCTTCTAAAGTGTGTGTTACTTTTTTTTTCATTATTACTTGGTCAATGGATTAGTATATATCCTTTATAAAGGCTTCTTGAAATTATTTTCTTTAATCTTGAACTAGATTTCGACTTATATATCATTTGAACTGAGCACAACTCTCAGCTGGCTTAGGTTAAATCTAGTTGAACTGAACTGAACTGAACTGAACTATACTTCGTGTGGGTGAATTGATTATTTGTTTATACCTAATAATTTATTCAATTACTATTTTATCATAAACTTTTTTAAAATTAGTATGAATAATATTGTTTAAATAATTAAATCATCACTTCGAATACAACTCATTATATCTGACTTATACATTTATATACATATATTTCTGTTCGTTGTTATTATTATTGGTCTATCCTGAAGATATCAGTCTCTTTTCCCTCTCTGTGCGTTGGTGAGTTCCTTTCACTTAGGCAGAGTTACTGGTTCTTCGATCTTATTTTTATTATAAAGCTAATCATCAGAGCAAGGTATTGATCTCATTATTCAGAATTCATCTGTGTACTCTTCCTACCCTCTTCATCGACTCGTCGTAAGTATTCTATTAATCTATACCTTTTGCAATAGCTACCAAGAATTAGAAAAAAACTAAACATTAAACATTCAATATTATAAGATGTCTGAAGATACAACATCAAACCAAAAGGAAAGTGCTGGCACATCTTCTAACTCTCATTCTACTTTAAACAACTCAATGGATTTCACTGAAAACAAACCAGATCCATGCCTTCCTATAATGTACAAAGCTCAAATATCACATCCACTTGAATCAGGTGAAGAAGGTCATCATGATATCTATATTGTTAAAAGAGCTCAATTGGATTGTACTGCAGATACTGCATTAAAAATCAATAAAAGAATCGCAGGTATTGTTACAGGTACTCAAAATGTTCACATTAATTTTGGTGAAGTTGATTACACTGACCTACCTCCAATGGGTGAGAACAGAGATTATCCACCACCTTTACCAAATATTGATGAATATGAAGTTACGTTCTGTGGTAAGGATGATCCTTTACATCCATTCAATTGGTCATTGAAATTAAGAATTTTCATTTGTTTTATATTAGGTTTAGATGTCATCAATGTTGCTGTAGCGTCATCTAATTTTGTCTTTGGTGTTCCTCAAATAACTGAAGAATACCATGTGGGTCAAGATACTGCTATGTTAGGTGTCACATTATTTGTTTTGGGTTTTGCTGGTGCTCCTATTATATATGCTCCTTTGTCTGAAATTTATGGTAGACAAATGGTAATATTGGTGTCAGCATTTGGTACAGCTGTATTTCAATTCGCTGTAGCGACAGGGAAAGACATCCAAACACTTTTGATCTGTAGATTTTTTGGTGGGCTAGTTGGTAGTGCTCCATTTGTAGTTGTGCCTGCGATGTTTGCGGATTTGTTTGATACTGACATCAGAGCTAAAGCTGTCTGTCTATTTTCTTTAGGTACACTAGCGGGACCTGTTATGACACCTATTTTTGGTACTTATATTACTCAACATACTACTTGGAGATGGTTAGATTATATCCAAGGTATGTTTGCATCTTTAGTATTTGTCCTGTTGCTAATTTTCTTGAAAGAAACACATCATCCGACGATTTTAGTCAAGAAAGCTAAGATGATGAGAAAGAAATCGAATAACTGGGGTATTCATGCAGCTCAAGAGAATGTCGAATTGACTATGCGTGATGTTATTCACGTTAACTTTACCAGACCGCTTAAAATGTTATTCACAGAACCTGTCATTGCGATGCTTACATTCTATGATTCTTACTGTTATGGTATCCTATATTTATTATTAGAAGCACAACCAATTATTTACGTTGAGGGTTATGGATTTAATAGAAATGGTGCCTTGCCATCTATTTCAGTTATTGTTGGTATGATTATATGTACAGTATATGTTTGGGTTGGAGATAATCGATACATTAAAGCTGCTGAAAAGAAAGGGAAATTATTACCCGAACTAAGATTGAGAGAAGTTATCACATGTAGTTTTGCAATGCCTATTGGTGTTTTATGGTTAACCTGGACAGGTCATTATCATGATAGGATTCATTGGATTGTTCCTGTCATTGCCGATGCATTTGTTGGGTTTGGGTTATTGGGATCCTTGTTACAATGTGTGAACTATCTAATTGAATCATATTTCTATTTGGCGGCATCGGCATTAGCAGCCAATACGTTTATGAGGGCTATATTTGGTGGGACATTTATTTTGTTTTGTAGACCTATGTTTGCAACAATGGGTACAAACTTTGCAGGGTTACTATTGGGTATTGTTGCAATTGTATTAATTCCTGTACCTGTTCTACTATACTTCAAGGGAGAAAAAATGAGAGCAAGAGGTAAATTCGCATATGCATCTGATCTTTAATAGTTATCAACATCTGATGCATATTAAAAATTAAAAAAATTTAACGCCAATTTTTTTTTATTATTATTATTACTACTAGTAGTGGTACTAGAACTACCATCCATCTATACTGGTGGAAGCACTGTCTTTTGATTTTATTACATTTGCCAAAAAATATATTCAATGGTTCGGTTTTTATTAATTATATTCCCTCCCTATCTAGTCTATCTTTCCTTCATTTTAGGTAGTACTCACTGCAGTCGTAACTTTAACGCACATCATGATGAAAAGTTGACCTTTTTCTTTAAAGTTCAGTGAAAAATCACACGACGAAATCATTATACAACGGAAACATGTTCCTCTAATTATATATGTATATGTGTATACGTATATTTATGTATATCCAAGTACTTTATTTAACATTCATTATAAGATATAAGATAAAAGATATTACTCTATTTGATTGAGAACAATTGTTACAATATAGATTGTGGAACTTAGTTGAAAATAAAGACTCAAACAAGCACAAACTTATCCCCAGATGACATAGATACTATACCTAAGAAACCGTATCTATTACTCAATAAGGAAGTCACATTACACTTTTTTACAGTTTTCGAAAATATGAATAAAAAAGATAAGTAATCAGCGGATAAACAACTAGCCGCTGAGGTCAGATAATTTAAACGACGAAACCTGGTATGTCCCATTCTGCCACCTAGTGAGGGTTGAAAGAAAGTCGCATATTACTCCTATTGTTTATTACTAGAGGTAAAAACAACAACCCATTGTAACAAAGTGACTTAGAATTGTATACAGGTACTCAAACTCAATTTAACTTCCAGAGACCCCTTAACCCCTTAGCCCCGGGGACAAGACAACAAGACAACTCTGTGTCCGTTACCCTGTTGCCGAACATCGGAATTGGCCGAGAGTCAACCTCCTCCGGCAGCCACCAAAATTTGTTTAGATGGCCAGTATCCCTTTGTACGTATTCGCCGGGGTCTATCTCTCTCTACCCCATTGAGACTCCTCCCCTCCAGAAAACAAATTGTATGCATATGATTTGTCGTATATAGCGACCGCATTTATTATGACTTCTTTTCCGAACTTTTCTTCCGTGCCTGCCATTAACTTCAGCATCTTACACATCCATTACTAAATTGGCCTATCAGGAAAAAATATATATATATATATATATTGAATTTTAGTATATAAAGCAAGGGAGTTTCGAAACATTTTATATGTATAGACTTAGTCATCTATTGTTAAATGTTGGAAATGGGCCTCATGAAGATTAACTTCATTGGAATTCAAGACAGGACTGGCTATTGTACCTTTTTGTAGAGTTCCAGGTATTGTTTTGGTAGGGAAAATTAGAATATACCTACAGATTTCAAGATAATAAAAAAAAAAGATAAAAAAATTGGGCATCAGTTGGCCTATTTAAAGATTCGATTATTGTCAAGTTGCTACTTTAGTCATATTGAGTGACTTTTCATTATAAAAAAACAAATTTTTTGTTATATTTATTACTGTGGTCTAGTTGTCTAGATTTGTTTTTGTCTATTGGAAATTCTCTGGTTTTGTATTGATTACGGCAAGGGTTCCAACTATTTATTTATTTGTTTATTTATTTATTGATTCGATTTTATTTTATTTTATTTTATTTTATTTTATTTTATTCCTGGTGAATTAAATTAAAATATACAACGAGACAGATTTTTTTTATTTTTGCAAACATACACATTTATCATGAAATCCCAATTTCTATTAAAAAATTTTAATTATACATCAAAAAGATGTATCCAGACCTCTTTACTGTCAACTAAGAATAGTACTCCAACTAACAAAAGATTAGTGTCATTCACATCTGTCAAGAATGCGCATCCTGGTCCTCGTATCCAGAATGTTACAGACGATGGACATCCCGTCATCTCGCATAAATGGAACTTTAAATTAAATGACATAACCCAACCATCCACATCCACATCCACATCCACAACTTCAACACAAAATAAAAAATGGTCAAACTACTCATTGCCTTCAAACTCAGTGTTGAAACAGAGGCAAACAGAATTTGAATTGAAAAAAAAAGAAAGTGAAGCTAATAAATCTGCTTCTTTAGTGGATTCAAATGAGACTTCCTCTTTGCAAACTAAAAAGAAGAAAAAGAGATTCCTACGACCACGTAAGGCATTGATTACTTTAAGTCCAAAAGCAGTCACACATCTAAGAGCCCTATTGGATCAACCAGAACCAAAATTGATCAGAATTGGTACTAGAAATAGAGGTTGCTCAGGATTAACTTACGACCTTCAGTATATTGCAGAACCTGAAAAATATGACGAAATTGTCGAACAAGATGGAGTAAAAGTAGTTATTGATTCAAAAGCTTTGTTTAGCGTCGTTGGAAGCGAAATGGATTGGGTAGATGATAAACTAACCTCAAAATTCGTATTTAAAAATCCAAATTCAAAAGGAACTTGTGGCTGTGGTGAAAGTTTTATGGTGTGAAAAGATTTAATATATCCATCTCCCATAAGATAATCTAGAATCTTATTTCCAGCCGCATATCCCATTCCTTATTTATTTATTGCATGATTGCATCGATTATCATACACCTTTTTGTGTATGTGTTTCTATGACTTTTTACTCAATCTCGACCGGAGAATTGAGTAAAATGAATGGTCTATTTATTTATTTTATGTAACTAAAACATAAGTACTATTTAAAATTTTAATTAATTCATAATTTATAATGCATATTCTCTTAAAACTGATTGAATATTCCTTTTTAAATATTTGTATAATACAGCATGAAATCATTATTTATTACACTCAAGAAATCACCAATGATACATATCAACTATATATTTATTCAAGGAATGCAAAAGCTTCCTAAATTCATGTCTTGTAACACCTTCCTTGACAATAGCAATCTCAATTGGTGTTCTACCATTAAAGTACTTTACTAACTTATTGAATACAACTTGAACATCGGCGGGTTGATCATGTAGACACTTATGAATCCATCTTTTCTCAATAGCACCTGCTCTTTCAGGCTCTAAAATTATAGTATAATCTTTCTCCATATCAGGATCATCGTATTGGAAATGAGTTAAATCCTCTTCCTCAGAGTCAATAATTCTTGTTTTTCCATCTAAATGATTATCCTTTGAACTACTTATATTGGAGTCGGTTTTTCCACCAGCTACATTATCGATTTTTACATCATTCCTAATAGCAGGTTGTTTTACTGTACGAAAACCCTCTTTTTCTAAATCTTCATCAACAGCCATCTTTATTTGTTTATCGACACGAATGCAAACATAAGTAAATAGCTGTGTGACATATCCGTATCTTATTAACCAGGCTAATGCACCAAGGTATATTGGTTTATGCTCCTTTGATGGGATAATTGTCCCGAATGGATGTGGTTTCCCATTAGATAAAAGACTTAAAAATGATACTAAAGGTGGTAATGATGGAAATGCTTTCTTAAATATATCCTCATTTTGGTAAATTAAAGTTTTAGGATTATCCTTGTTGATATGGTGGTGACTTACAGTATCATCCTTTGCAGTTCCTTGAATTGGGGCTAATGGTGTCACAATATATGTGTTTTTGGAATTAATTGGACTGATTACCCTGGCATGTCTCCAATAGAGCAAATGTAACGCACAATATTTTAATATATTTACCTGAAACAAACTTCTTTCCCCAGAGAGCCCACCTGAAGTACTGCCTAAGAGTTCGTCTACTAAGGGTTGATAATAATTAATTGGAACATGAGGTTGGAGATGCTTTACGAGGTGTTTAAGCACAACACCGCCGATGTTATCCTTATAGGTAAAAGAATCTATATTATTAATAATTTTTGAAGGTTCATCAAGCAAAAGTAATGCATAATTTAATAAATCATCTGAAGCATCCTCCTCGCTCGAATATATGTTCCAATCGCTTGTTTCTTGATTATTATTTGTGGTTGATCCTAAAAATCTTTCATTTAAAATTGTAGTTAGATAGGAACCTCTAAGTACAGGTTCTAATTTGAATTTAGGTAACTTCCAAAATTCATCGTGAATAGGAATTTGCAGAGTCAGAACTTTATCATCGTCAATTTGAAGTCTTGAGATTTCATTTTTTTGAATATTATCTACACATTTTGTTAAAGCTCTTGCTAATGATGATTTTGAAAGAATTCTTTGATAGAGGTAGCGAGCCTTGTTACAGGATCCCCTTATGCTTTTGTATTTTTTTGAATTCTTCATGACAGCTTCTCTCTCTTTCAGAATTATATCACATTCTTTTGAAACATATGAATTCTTTGCTTGTGCTGATCGAAGTGCCAATGTAAATTTTGATACGATATGTCTGAACATATCATTGACTCTTTGGTTGTATTCTATCAGATGAGGATTCATCACAAAACATACATGAAACATAGTCAGGTTTTTTCCATCATCTGGGGAAAAAGGGATGTTTGCTTCTACTTTTATACTTTTCCTTGAAGACATTTCTGTTTCTTTATATTTATAGTCGTCATCTTCCTCTTCAACATCACTACTATTATTATTATTAATCATTGGAGATTGGGTTATGCTTTTCCTGTCATCTTTTGTATATATACTTGATGATCTTTTAGACCTAGTACTCTTTTTCTTTTTTGATTTTTTCCAATTGCCATCAGCATCTATATGGATAGGGAATCCCAGAAAGCTTAGATTATCCACTGTGAATTCGAAATTTGTATTACACATTTCTCTTTCTGGGCTACAGAATTCAGCAACAAATTCAGCATCGAAATCAAAAATTTTTGTAATGTCTTGGAATACTTCAGGTTCGAAATATTCCTCATTATAAGATATTTGTTTCTGCTCCAGCATAGTAATCAATTCATTATCGCTTCGGTTATCATCCTCTGCATCATTCTGTATTGAGCTTGCATTGTCATTCACAGAGTATGAAGTTGACAGTTTCGATCCTAATGAAGATCTTCTTCCAATATTATTATTATTGTTATTGTTATTGCTATTGCTATTGCTATTGCTGTTGCTGTTGCTGTTGCTGTTGCTGTTGCTATTATTGGTATATGAACTGGTAGTGAAATTAATCTCGTTATTAAAAATATCTAACAATTTGTTTGCGCTAATCTGTGAGCTTTTATTCTTATAAGACTTATTTGATTTTGTTTCTGAATTTGTTCCCTTCGAATCAATTATTGGAGAATAAGAAGGTTGAACGACGTTCGAACTTTCTTGATTATTCAAGTCATTTGTAACATCTGTTTCGCTTTTATGTACACTAAAAGAATCTGAGTTATCTGAGTAAGTACCAGAAGATAAACTACTTACATCTGAATAATCTGTTGATAGTTCGCTATCGCTTAATCCAGATGAGAATTCTGAGTCTGACATCATACTATAGTTGTCATTATTATCGGTTTGTAGATCGAACTGTACATTTGTTGTTCTTGGACTTGGCAAAGACATATGAATACTGTTATCATCTTTAGATCTTTGGTTTGTTATTTTTCCATCGATTGACCTCTGGAATTGGTCAGTAGGAGTTTGTATCGAATTATTTTTAAATAGTTTACTATGATTCTTTTCGTTAACTACGTTTTCCACTGCACAAGGTGGATAATGGTATACAACTTGTGGGCCAGCATGAGTTGATATAGTGAGATGAATCCCTAGCAGCCTTGAATTTGGAATGTACTGGGTCATAGTGTGTCAATACATGGGTTGTATAAAAACGGGTATTGGTATCCTAAAATGAGTAGCTTATGTTGAGAATAAATAAACACTGTATATTATGTTTAAATAGTATTCCTGATCACTACTAATTTCTTGTATTATGAAATCGAAGATTAGAATCTCATTTAGCATGTATATTTTGTGCTATATTTCAAAGATTGTTATCATAGGTATTCTTAAATATATATGAAATTGCTTGTATATGCACTATATTCTTGAATATTGTGTAAAAAATCCGAACTGAACTTAAATGTTAGGAAAAAAGTGATCACGAGACCTGTTGAGAATTTGTAAAGTATAAAATGGAATGTTGTACTATAAACTAACTTAACTGTTTTGCAAGAGACTGTAAAATATATATTTAAAGGAATATGTTGTTTAGTTTGCAAATTCTTGTCGAATAAAAACTAACCATTGCGTATACACAGATATATAATTGAGTTAGTAGTAGACGAAATAGACATATCAACTAAAAAAAAAGGATAACTAAAATAGGTTAGTTCTGGCCCTTTATGAGGGTGAGATATCTAATTGATTTACTGGTTCATGTTCAAAACTGAATAAGAGAAGTTAAGGAAATTTATTTGTTTGTTATACAAGTTTCTGGTCCCTTTTTATATTACGATCCGGTTTCTTCTATGTCGTTTGTTGCCAACTATATGAAAAAAAGAAAAAAAAAGTATCTCTGACACAAAAACAGAACGAAAAAAACCCAAAAATATCACACACACACATACATACACTCACGTGACTGAATTTATGTAGTCACATGCTGGGCGGCTAACTTTTTTTTTCACATTCACGCATTCTAATAGATGTTACCCTGGTTTGCCCCTGCCAACCTCACCACGAACGACGTAATTTACTGAACATACATGTATTTTTCATAGTTTGCATTTTGCTTCTTTCCTTTATAATTTCCCGAAACGGCAAGAGAGATCAAGTTTTTTACCCAATTTCGAAAAAATTAGCAATAATATCAAACATCGTCTGCGAAAGGAACGACCGGAGAATTAACCGTAACAAAACCGAAAAATTAAAAAAAATTAAAAAAAATTAAAAATAAAAAGAAAAAAGAAAAAAATTTCGAAAAATTCAAATTCAAATTCAAATCAAAAAATAAAAAATAAAAAAAGAAAAAGAAACAAAAAAATATTCAGAAATTTTATTCAAGCTGAGAAAAAGGCCATCGCAAGAATCTTTTTACAAAGCTTTAATAGCCACATAATAAAGAGATTTTTTGATTACAAGACTTGATATTTCATTATATTTTTATCGTTTTACTGTTAGCAGTAGTCTTATACATATAGTGTTGTTTTTTTTATGTGAAGGCGTCAATACTATCAAGAACTGGGAAGAAAATAGGTTGAAATCATTGGTGAAAAGAAGGTTTTATTCTATTCTGTGATTAGTTGTTTCGAATTAGAGTTTCCTAACTATTTATTATACTATCATTTTATATAGAGAACTTTTTTTTTTTTTTTTTGGAGTTATATTTCACTGCTATATTAAGACTCGAGGCAAAGTATCAGTAATATATAATAGAATATAATAAAAATTATATTGTTTAAAATATCACTTGATAATAAAGATATAAAAAAAAAAAGTATAAGGAGAAATTTTTTTGTTCGGCTTTCCTTTTTAACTTCTGAACTGCGTGTGTGATAGTGCCTTCCTTTTAGATTCTTGGTTTTGATATCATAGAATGACTACTCCCGAGACGCTGAAACCTCTGGTTGATAGAGTGCTTTCAAATCCACTACAATTTAGACCTGCTTCGAATAAAAAATTAGGTTCCAATTCAAATGACGATACTTCTAATTATATTGTAATCGGTGGTACTAAAAAATTGAAAACTGATGATAAGCTTAATCAACCAATTGATTTGGGTTCCAAAGCTGGCGTAAGCTCGCAAATTAGCAAAGTTAAAAAAAATCTACCTAAATCAATGGCTGAAGCTATATCTATGTATACTTCCATAGAAAATTCAAATTCAGATAAAGATCAAGATTTAAGTGATAATGATTTTAATATTGAAGAAAGTAGTGATAGCAGCAATGATGTATTTCATGAGGCAAAAGAATATATTGAGTCCGAAAAATCTTCAGATGAAAAGCAATTAGAAACTGTTGATGAGGATTTGGGTATGCCCTTGGATGAAGAAGCCTCTTCTGAGACTTCTACTTCCCCTTCTTCTTCTTCAGCTGATGAAGATTTTAAAATTGAAGAAAATGAAACTGTTGACGCAGAAGAAGACGATGAGGAAGATGACGATGATTACAACGAGGATGAACAAGAAGATGACATCGTAGTATCTGATTCTGAAAGGGCACAGTTGCAAGAGGAAGCTAAAGAATTCGCAGAACAGGAAGGTGGTGACGAACAAGATGACATCGAAGAAGATAATGATGATGACGATGACGAAGAATTAAAACATAAGGAACCATCACGTTCTTCATCCGAACAGAAGCTTACTCTTCAAGTAAAAGAACAAAAAATTACTCTACAACCACCAGTTGATGTTGCAGAACTATCGCAATTTTATATTTTCAATGAAAATGTTAATGATGCTGGTTCCATAATATCCTCACCTATAGTGAAGAACTGGGGGCCTGTGTTGACAAATCTGAAACCTTGTGGTCTTCTTAATCATGGTGTGACTTGTTACACCAATGCTGCAGTTCAAGCAATGTTACATATCCCAGCAATTCAACATTACTTATTTGACGTGTTGAGAGGCTCACATAAGAATACTATAAAAGCAGATTCGGTTACACAAGTATTAGCTGAAACTAGTAAAAAAATGTGGTGGAGAGACAAAAAACACAACAAAAGTACCTATATTAACCCAAAGAAGCTTATTTCAAGATTAGATGATATCAACTGTATGATGAGCGAATGGCAACAAGAAGATTCTCATGAATATTTTATGTCACTGATGTCAAGGTTACAGGAAGACTCTGTCCCAAAAGGTCGCAAGATGACAGAGTCCATTGTTTATGATGTCTTTGGTGGTATGTTAAAGCAAATTGTTACTTGTAAGTCTTGTGGTAGTGTTTCAAAAACTGAACAACCGATTTATGATCTTTCTTTGCATCTAAAGGGTAAGAGAAAACAAACCATTGATGGTGATAGTTCAGTTCCACCTTCGCCAATTCAACAAAATCAAAATAATGGTAAATTTACAAATCAAAATCAAGGACCAACCCATTCTGGTAATGAAGAAAATGAGAAGAATAAATTCACAATTGAAAAGGCTATCAGGGATTTCTTCAACCCTGAGCTTATTAAAGTTGATAAAGAAAAAGGTGGTTATGTTTGTGAAAAATGTCACAAGACTACTAACGCTATCAAGTGCAATTCTATCTTGAGGGCTCCAGAGACGCTGTTAGTACATTTAAAGAAATTTAGATTCAATGGACAATCGTCATCAAAGATGAAACAAGCTGTAGCCTATCCAATGTTCTTAGATTTAACTGAATATTGTGAAGATCCAGAAAAGGGTGAAAAACTACCTGTCAAATACCAATTGATAAGTGTTGTTGTACATGAAGGACGTTCTTTATCCTCTGGTCATTACATAGCACATTGTAGACAGCCTGACGGTAGTTGGGCAATTTATGATGATGAATACATTAATAAGATTTCAGAAAGAAACGTATTAAAAGAGCCAAACGCATACTATTTGATATATACTAGGTTGACTCCAAAAGAAGTTCCACTAAGGAATCCACCAATCTCAAACAAAGATATCGGTGTACCTTCACAAAATATACCATCAACTTCTAATAATTCATCACCTAGGGTTAATAAGACTACAACAATCGTAAAAAATCAAATAAAAATAAAAAGAGAAGATTTAACAAATATTAAGCATTAATTCGACTGCATTTTACCATGTGTACAATCATTTATCCTATTTATCATCGTTTAGCATTTTTAATAATATATTTTTAATAGAATATATATATTTTTGTATATATAATTAACATTTTATAAACTTACAAATTAATGTTTTTCTAAATTAATATATTTCAATTAAATTTACAGAATAATAATAATATTTGTGGTGGTATATTTATAACTATATCCAGTGATTTTATTTGATCCTAAAAATTATGTACAAGTCCTCTTTAAATCATGCAGTTATCTTCATGGAACAACTTCAATACCCATGCTTTTTGCTACACCGATGATGGATTTCACTATACCTTCCATTTCTAAAGCAACATGTCTGGAATCGGTTTTCTTAATTTTAGCAATTTCATATACATGTTTCAATGATAGTTGGCCAATGCTACCACCTTTTGTGCCTGTATTTGGTGTCCCATGGCCCTTTTCAATACCCAATGCCTTTAGTAATAAGTAACCTGTTGGTGGAGACTTCATTTCAAAAGTAAATGATCTGTCAGGTCTAACGGTAATTAATACAGGTATTGGAACACCTGGTTGGTATTGTGCAGTTCTAGCATTGAATTCTTTACAGAAATCAATAGCCTTTATACCTTTCGAACCTAATGCTGGACCAACTGGTGGAGAAGGTGCTGCTTGTCCTGCACCAACTATCAGCTTCACTAGTAAATTTTTAGCAGCTTGTGACATAGTACTCCTATTATATTTACTTGGCTATTATTAATAACTTTATTTAAAAGGGAATTGCCTATTTAAATGACCTTGTATTCATTGTTCTTTGTCTTATCTTACTTATACTTCTTGTGAAGCTTTTCATATTTTAAATTTAATTTCACCGATACCATATTAAATTTTATATTTGATATGGGACTCACGTGAAAGGAATTACAACAACAAAATTATTTTGACCTTTGCAATGACAGTGATCGCATAGATCATTATTGTAGTAGTACTAGTAATAATAATAATAATTAAATCTTGTTAAAACAGTTACATACATACTCTAAAGTTATATATCTACAATTAGAACTATAAAAATTTCTCAGATTGTGGTTAAAAATAAACTTAGAACAACAAAATAAATAATGCAGAAACAGTTAAGCAAAGGAGCCATGAAAAAAGAGAAGTGCTTCGTTTTAATTCCTAATGTAATGTGCCATATCCCTTAGATCGATCTGGGATTCTTGATGCAATGTCACCATGAAGAAGAAAAATACTTGAATATATATATACATTTCATGAAGTGGGCAAAAAATATAATAAATATGAAAATTAGGAGTGTAATGAAGTCATGAATTGGGTGAACATATATATGGAGAATACTAAGCTCCATTTAATAGTATGAATAAAAGGCGTTGATTAATGTAAAAGTTCATATATGTATAATAATTTTGGGAAATGATCAACGATAAAATTGAATTTTATCCTGAGTTTAGGGTAATCGTTTAGGGTAATCGTTTGTCATTATTTGTAGATGATGATCCTGTTGATGAGCTGCCATTTGCAGCTGCGGCTGCTGCTGCTGCTTTCTTCTTCTTTTCAAGACCAGCAATATGAGCTTCGCTCTGATCAACTTGAGTGTGTGTGTGGTATTTGCTTGACAAAAGTTCATAATGGTCATTCTTTTCTACTAAATGGCACATATCAATACCTTCAACCCATGGATCAGCCATTATTTCATCAATATTAGCCCTACATGCAGGTGCCAAATCAACCATACGACCAATAATATGTTGAGATTCTTCAGGTAAAGAATGGTATAACCTTTGGGGACCAATGTTGGTATTATTTGGATCGGATGGGTTATTTGAGTGGGGATTCTTAGATGTGCTTGGGCCAGTTGCATTATCGTAAGATGGAGGGTCTGGAGTTCTAGTGACCAAAGCACTTAATGAATCACAATCTCTACCGGAACAGAATAATTTAAACGAATTATCTCTCAACTTCGGTATTTTCCAAGGGAATTTCTTTAATACCATACAGGTGAAAATTATAGCAACTGACCATATATCAACAGGACGTGGATCATACTTTGAAAAGATACAAACTTCTGGTGCCAAGTATGGATCACTGCCAACAATACCACTGGCTTCCACTAAATTCTTAGAAAATGGGTATGAGAATACAACAGCAGCACCAAAATCAATCAATTTGACAATACCTCTATCATTAATAACACAATTGTCCAATTTTAAATCTCTATGGGCTAAACCTATGCTGTGCAAATATTGAACACTTGTTAATATTTGCTTGAAACAACAACATATTTCCTCGTAAGACATTTTGTTGCTCATAACTATTGCAAACAAATCATATTCACAATATTCCATTACTTGAAGAATTCTATTATTTTCGTAAGAAATTTCGATTGTTTCAATAATATTTGGATGACGTAATGTAGTACCAATACAATATTCGGATGTAATCTTTTTGACATAATCACGCTTAGTTTCAGTATCAAGTTTTGCTCTAAATTCTTTTACTGCAAAGATTTTATTGTCAGAGCCTCTTTTTATCAATTTCACACTACCACCGGCACCTGCACCTAAATCCTCACCTGTCCTTTCATATCTTTTTGAAAATGGCAAAGTATCACTTGAATTTGAATAAAGAGTGTCATTAACTGAAGCACTGCTTCCGTAAAGGCTTGGTGACATATTATTACTATATGATTGGTTAGACTGGTTACTAGAAACACTCATTGAACTAGTTCCATTGACAGAACCCTTTATTGGCACTGGTAATGGTGCAGTAGTAGGAGACGATGAAGAGTTCCCTCCTTTCTTAAAAAAGTTCTTTAGATTTGAGACAGAAGACTGATGATTTTTAGGCACACTTTGAGTTGGTGATTGCTCAGATTGTGGTGGAGTAGAGCTTAGGAAGTTCTCTGTATAAGACGACGAGGGTCTTCTTGAAGCAGCATAAATGCTGCTCTGTCTAGCACGGCCTGGTTTTGGAATAGATGTTGCAGCTGGAGAAGAAGAGTATTCGGAATTTACAGTGCCAGTAACAGTAGTTATAGTTGTTGAATGAGAAGTAGAACCGTGGATATCTTTTGAGCTTTTTGAGAAAAACAAATTTCCGAAATGAGATGATAATGAATTCGATCTTGAAACTGAACCAGATTGAGAACTCTCTGAGGACTTTTGCAGCTTCTGTTTTGAAATAACAAATCTTGGTTCTACACTGTCGACCACAGGGGAAGAAATAACGTTTGAATCAATAGCGGATATGTTACTTGGCATGCTACCTCCATAAACGTCAATCCATGAAGAGGAAACTGAAGAATTAGTACTATTTGACCCTGTTCTATCTTTGTTTGAGTTTGGTACTGAATAAGGAATACTAGATGATAACGAAGGTAGTTGCCTTGATTGTTGTGAACTTGAATAGGATCTACCAGGTTTTCTGCCAGGAACGACTAAATTTGGAGAGCCGTATGATGAACCACCGGCAGATATATTGATTGATAATGAGTTTGAATAAGTTCTAGAATGCACGCTTGCACCATACATGGTTGCAGTGTGAGCTGAATTTGAATCTAAAAAACTGGATGAAAATGCATTACTCATACCTTGGTCGTGCCTCCTGCCAGAATCGACACGGTTAGCACCACCACCTGTATTTAAAAACATCTGTTTATTTATGCTGTTGACAGTATTATTTGCTAGATCCTCATCATCATCCTCTGAATCCAATTGAGTTACTGTGGTGACGCTAGTAGTTGAATTTTGGGCAGTGCTCCCGGTATAGATGCCAATAGGCTGTGTCTGTTGAGCGGATGCAATTGGAGATCCTCTATTTACGCTCGATTCCACTGTGGTGGGCAATCGTGAATCATCCTCATTACGTTCTTTATCCTTCTTTTCTTGTAATAATCTTGTCAAGGAAGACATGGTTGTAATATAAAATTTTTCGATATTGAGTATAGTTTATTCCTTGTTGTGCCTTTTTTTTTGACCTCCCCAGATAATTGAAGATAAGACGTTGTATTTGAAGTTCTTTCCAGTATATTGGTTGACCTTTTCTCCCAGTATAGAAGAAATAAATGAAGGGGGATAGATGGAAAGTAAAAAAAAAATGGATTGAAGAGATAGAGTTGAATGAAATTGGATCAATTAACTAGCAAACGAAAATCGATTCCACAAAATGGGGAAATATGGATAAAACTGTTAATCAGGAACTTGATTTATAAGAGTTCCACTAAAAGCAGCAAAGATATTAAATTTATTAGAACTTATTTAATATAAGCCTATATAACGAATATCTATCAAATCCCGCAAACAAAAATCCTTGTGTTACGACGACCTGTATAAATATAAAAGTAATCTCTATAATGCCTGCTATATTATTAAACAATTATTATACAATACTAATATTATTTTCTAAACTAAATATGATTCAATAACACTCCTTTTTAATATATATATCATAGTATGATACAATATAATATAATTATAGTATAATATATCAATTCTATTCTATTCTATTCTATTCTCTTCACTGACTAATTCCTTTATTAAAAATCGCCATTGACGGGGAATTTCGTTTTTTTGATCTCAGCGAGAAATTCGAAATGATTTGGATTTAGTCGGCCGTTCGATTCCTCGTGGGGTATGATACGTTTTCTGGGTGGTGGTGGTGACAGTAATTATTTATGATTTTTGGGTTTGAGATGACTGACCAACTACATCAGTGGTTGGTTGGTTGGTTGGTTGATTTATTCTTCAATTCAATGGATAGTTACATTGCTAGTGGAAATGGTGTTGAAATGTCTCTTTTGTTCCGTTTCTAGTTTGTATATGTGTCTGTGCTGTTCTTTAAAACTTAATATAAATTACTGTCACTCGCGTCTCCTTACTTACACCCTTTCATGTTCGTTTAACAACTTCTCATGCATTTGTCTCAATTCTTTATAAGCATTGGTTAAGGTTTCGATGTTGGATTTCAATTCGGCAATCTCTTCATCCTTTGCCTTATCAGTTGTTTCCGTGACATTTTGGTCTGCCACGGCTGGAACGTTGCTTGTAACATTCATTCCTGATGTGAAAAATACCGATTCTTGATTAGACAAATTGTCCATATATGATTCAAAATCAGATAATGGAGTCACTAGACTCTCTCTCGTAGGAACCTGATGCCATACGTCGTGACTTTGTCCTAATTTACTATTATCACGGATTACTCTTTGTAACGTTGGTAATTTTTCAATTGCAGTCTTACCAGGTTGTAACTTATTACCACCAGTGAATTGTTCATTTGTACTGGAATTATATTCAGCGTTGATTACTATGTTGGTTACTTTACCTAGAATGGTTTGTTGCGTGGTTAACGGTTGGATTGTTCTCAATATTTGTTTGGAATATATTTCAGTAATTGAAAGCTTACCTGTATTATCACCAATTAGCAACAATGTACCATCTAGCGATAACTGTAAACATTGAACATCGAGATCAATAATTTTAGTAACTAATAATTGACCAATAGAGTATAATTCATCCACATTTTGTAAATTACTTCCACTAACATTTTCCGTTAATGTAAATATCTTACCTTTACTGCTAGATATTTCACTCATTGGTTGTAACAGATTGACAATTCTATTGTGAGATAATGGATAGAATAATGATAGGTTGAAACAACCATTAGAAGTACCAACATAAAGTGCTCTGTCAGCTGGGTCAACTGCAAATGAGTTAACTGCATACGGTAGTGTGAATGTAGCCAACAAACGTGGTTGTACTTTATTTTTCTCTGTAGATTTCTTCTTCAAATTTGTCTGGGTACCTAACATATTCAAATCATAACATCTAATTGTAGCATCTTGAGATGCAGTAAATAGTTTAACTCCAGATGAGGATAAATACTCACCATGGGTACAAGAAACCTGGAAATCAGTCACCGGCAAAGTATGGTCATGTAAGATGGCAATTGGCTTTGGTTCTTCCATGGTGACTAAATCCATTGTTTGCCAAATTATAACACGGGCATCATTACCTGATGTAATGACATATCTACCATTCAATATAGATTTGATCTTGGTAATAGCCTGGTAATGAGCCATTGGCTTGACAGATAATAATATACCAGAACTTATTTCCCATATGTAAAGCTTCCCAGTTGGAGTTGAAGCTAATAGCAAATATGGTAAAAATCCGTTATTTTGGTCTTCAACAACCTCCAAACAACTGACCATCTCAGGTAAAGGCAACCGTTGCTCTACAGATTCCCTCTTCTGATCACCTTGAATATTGTAAACATTGATCAAAGCCTTCTGAGCCTGAGCCACAAACACAAACTTATCTGAAACCTTTACGATACTGTTACCACCTGGAGTTGAACATTGTCTCAAATTGGTTTGTTCAAAAGAATGAATATCTACCACTGATGCAGTAGTACTGGTAGTAAAAATAACCTGTTCATCCATCGTTCCACAAGCTAACAACAAATAGACTATCCTATCCTCTCTGAATACCCAATGATCAACAAATCAACTGTGATCTTGTACCTCATCTTGTTCTTGAGATGAGATGAGATGAGCTTTTTATAATAAAAGTTTGAAACAAGGCCTTTGTTGAAAAATTTTCAGGTAATGAACAGAATCACTACTATAAAAGAGAGGCAAATGATGGAATTGGTAAAAGTATCTTGTCAGTTTAAGGAGGTGAGTATGGAACGAATTTACAATTGTATTGTGTAATTCTGTTTGTGGATAGATTTTCGTTATAATGCCTTTGAATATTATTGGTAGTGCATTAATCGATGGTGCTGACAGTATCCCATATTTCGATACAATTAAGAAAGTTGCACCATATGCTATTGGTGCAGGGGCTATAAAATATTGGTCAAGAGGTGCTAGTAACATTTGGGAAAGGAATTTACATGGTAAAGTTTATATTGTTACTGGTGCTACTACCCAAGGGATGGGTACATCCGTTGTGATGAAGATGGCAGAATTAGGAGCGCAATTGATTATTTTAACTAGAAATGTTGATGAATGGACAACAGATTGGTGTAACAATCTAAGATATAGTACTAATAATCATATGGTATACATTGAGAAGTGTGATATTAGTGATTTATGGGAAATCCGTAAATTTGTTACAGGGTGGTTAGATCAGTCTCCTCCAAGAAGGTTGGATGGTGTTGTGGTAATGTCAGGGGATACAGAACCATTTGGGATTCCAATTGTTGGTAGGCCTACTAGAAAATCATCAAAGGATGGTTTAGAGATACAGATGGCTACTAATTTTGCTGGTATTTTCCATTTTTTGGATTTGTTACAACCTAGTTTAAAAGCTCAACCGCCAGATCGAGACGTTCGAATAATATACGTGACATGTTGGTTACAAAGTATGGGTAGAATTAACATTGAAGATCCGTTGTGGCAAGACGTTAAATATAATAGTGCATTGAAGTTCTTTTCCTCTAGTAAGTTGCAAATGGGATTGAGTTTGATGGAATTACAAAGAAGATTACAGAAGAGTATTCGGGAGCAAAAGAGCAATGATGGAGTTCAAAGAACAGGTAATAATATATCGATATCTGTGGTGCAGCCAGGCACGATGAGATCCCATAGTTTAAGACGAGTGATAAGTAATGGATCGATAATGATGTTGCTAATAGTTTACTGCATAATATTGTATCCGCTCTTATGGTTATTTACCAAGAGTGGTGACCGTGGTGCCCAAAATATACTGTATGCTTTGATGACACCTGAGTTTGAACAAGTTAATGTTGAAAATGATGTCAATGAAGTTAAATACGTTTCTGAGTGTAGCACTATGAAATTCATTAGAAAAGAGTATGGTGATGAAGTGTTGCAAGGGAAGTTGTATGACAACACTAAGAATGCGATTTCGTTATTAGAAAAGAAAATGGCGATGAAGAGAAATGCTGATAATAAGACGAAGACGAAGACTAAAACCGAATCTAACTCTAACTCTAACTCTAACTCTAACTCTAAATCTAAATCTAAATCTAAGTCTAAATCTAAGTCTAAATCCAAAGGGAAAGAGAAGGAAGCTAAGAAGACCAAGTAATGATATGATGCATACATGTTGATAAGTTAAAAGAAATAAGATCTGTTTGTTGTGTATTGTAGTTCGGAATCAAATGTTGAAATAAAATGAATGAAAACAATAAATAAAAAGAAGCTTGAACAAATCATAATTGCGTTACCGTGATTACGAAACAGACAAAGATAGATATGAAGATGACAAATGATTAAGAAAACAATAAAAGATAAAATAAAGATGGGGCATCAAATAGGGTGCCAATATGCTTAGTATTTTTCATAGTAGTCTAAGCAATTCCACAAGAGAGATGTTATAATGATTACTAATAGTGTATGGGAGGGGAAGGGTGTCGTTTGCATTGTATTGCACACTTTTCCCAATGCCGATATACATATGTACAGAAGTCTATATATAGAATAGTATAGAATAGAACCCACGTTTAAAAAAATTCGAATGCAAGATAAGATGGCATACAGTTCAGGAGTACAAATTGCCTTTGGTGGTTTGGGATATAGATGTAATTATAACGTCGCTTTGTATGTGACTCTGTCCCACCAGTGATCAAGTACAATTGTCATTGTCATTGGCATTGGCATTGTTACATCTCTTGTGGATGCAGAACTGGTCTTATTAAGCTATTGCTGTGTGTGTGGGCCAGCTGCAAAGCCAGAAGTAGTGTTCGTGATCATTGTTCACGAGCAGTTATCCCATCTGCATCTATGTGCTACAGGCAGGGTAACACCAAACTGGGTCCTTTCTTTCCCAACAGAGCTAAAGAGAGAGAGCCTCAGTTCGTCTGCTTGCTCTCTAATTGAAAGGCGAAAGTGTCTATCGAATAATTTATCTATACATCTACAGACACTTTTTTAATAGATTACACATTTACATACATACTCTTACATCTACATCTACATTAACATTGACGTTTTATTAATACTCTCACGCTCTCACTTTCATTCATATTTGGATATTATAACTATAACTTTATATATCCTATCTGACAAACAGAATTATATATAAATGAAACTATAGGGCTCATTAGTTCATGGATGGGTTCAAGTACAAAATTTTAATGACTCGATTGATTTAATTTGATTTGATTTAATTTAATTTAGTTTAGTTTAATTTAATTTGGTTTGGCTTGGTTTCACTTAATTTGTAATACACATATAATAATAGGTAATAATAGAAACAAAAAATAGTTGCACAAGCACTAGTAGGGGAAAATACAAAATACAAAATACAAAAAAATAGGTAAAATGTCTGGTAAAGAAATTCGTATTGTATCTCTATTGATACTAGATACTATCTTCTTCCTTTTGGAATTGATCATTGGTTATCTCTCCCATTCATTGGCTTTGATCGCTGATTCTTTCCATATGTTGAACGATATCATCTCTTTGATAGTGGCTCTTTGGGCTGTCAATGTAGCAAAAAATAGATCCCCAGATGCTAAATATACTTATGGTTGGAAAAGAGCTGAGATTTTGGGTGCTTTGATAAACGCTGTCTTCCTAATGGCTTTATGTTTCTCCATCTTAATCGAAGCTCTACAAAGACTAATAGAACCTCAAGAAATTAATAACCCAAAATTGGTTTTATACGTGGGTTGCGCAGGTTTGATCTCAAATATAGTAGGTTTGTTTTTGTTTCATGATGTGGGTCATGGGGGTCATTCTCATTCCCACAACGATGATGAAGAAAATTCAAACAATACTTCCTTAAATCCACATTTACATGACGCAATCTCTTCTTCCACTGACAACATTAACGACGTAATGCCTCAAAACGTAGTCGCTAGGGAATCGTCATATCTTTTAGGCAATGGTACAGGCTCTCACAACAATAACAACCATTCAGATTCTCATAACCATTCTCACGCTGATAGTAATCATGACCATTCTCATGGAAATACAAAAAATCAAGCTTCTCATGGCTCTTTAAACATGCATGGTGTCTTCTTACATGTTTTGGGTGATGCGTTAGGTAATATAGGTGTCATTATCGCAGCTCTTTTCATTTGGAAAACAGATTACTCTTGGAAATATTACACTGATCCAATCGTATCTTTAGTCATCACAATCATCATCTTTTCTTCAGCTTTACCATTGTCTAGGAAAGCTTCAAAAATTTTATTACAAGCTACTCCTTCCACTATTTCCGCAGATTCTGTTCAAAGAGATATTTTGGCCATCCCAGGTGTCATCTCGGTTCATGACTTGCATATTTGGAACTTAACTGAATCAGTTTTCATTGCATCAGTCCATGTCCAAGTAGACTCAACTCCAGATAAATTCACAACTGTTGCTAAACTAATTAGAGACGTTTTCCATAACTATAATATTCATTCAGCTACCGTCCAACCTGAATTCGCCTCAGGCAATGTTACCTCTGAACAAAGTAGGAAATTCTCTCTCTTGGCAGGAGGTAACCCACACGGTCCAAACTCTGCATCCTCTTTAGACAGCTTATCTCAAAGCGGTCGTTCTGCATATGGTTCAACTGCAGTTGATAGATACTGTTTGGTCGATGAAGTTTCAAATTGTAATACAAGTGATTGTTTACCAAAATGAGTGATAAACACATTTCTAACAAATATTTTTGTCAAGTCTCATGTAAAAAAGTGTATAAAACAATAGCACTCGGCAACTATATCTTCATATCCTGTTGAATAGGAATTCATATATTTATAATTACAATTATAATTAAAACTGATTCTGTTAATCAGGAACTTCAAAAATTAAAAAAATAATTTTTATATGACCAAAAATATACTACAAATTTTAATATAAATGTTCTCTATTTATTTATACTGACTATTGACGATCATATTTAATACAATTTTCCTTTAATTCAAGATCTATCTTACTTAATTTCGTCATCTTTTCCCTAACCTTGCCTTATGGTCTCAGACCATTTTAATACTTTCATATTTCCATCAACTCTGTCACTTAAATCTTTTTGATTTAGTAATTCAAATCTTTGTCCCCTAATAATTGCTGTATAAGATTCAATATACCCATCTTCACCAACCCTGATATTTTCATCAGTAGTTTCATCCATTTGATTACTAGTATCCTCTATGAATAAATGCAATCTCCTTAATTCATTGTCCCTATCTTCTTTAGTGACAGTTATGGGCACTATAACTTGTTGATGTTCATCAGAAATTGTTGGTAATTTGCTTCCATATAATCCAGTACGTTTGTTAATTTCAGTAGCAAATAAAGTTGCATCTTCAATAGTACCCTTCGAAGATTCCACAATTAGATTTAATGACTTTGTTAACTTTAGAATTGGCTTCTTGGGGCTAACTCTATTAAGCTTTTTTAATTTTCTTGAATTTACTAATTTGGGCTTTGATAAATAACCATTAAACCTACAATCTGTTTCTATATGATTTATTTGAGATGACATAAATGTCATATTTTCAAAGTATTGGTCGCTGTTAATGAATGGAAACTCATATTGAAAATTCGAATAATCTAATTGTCTATACGGAATTGCTTCATTTGGGTCCATATATTGATTAAACATTATCCCACTAGAATTGGAAACCGAATGGTACCAATAGGCATCATAGATTTCATTATTATTTGTATTATTTGAAAATAAAAATTCAGATCCTGATTTGATAGGCAAATAATCAGTTCCGACATTCCCTTGGTAAATATTTGATGATGTTGAATATAGGTTGGCATTCAGATTAAAGGAAGATTTTGATGGTGTCAAAGTATCAAATTTATTCCTTTGAAATCTATTCAGCCTATACCTTTTTGAAGGTGTTTTTGGAATTCTTGAACTACCAATTAAATTTGACCTTGCTCTTGGAGGAGTCTCTATTACCGAATACATCGTTTACACCTGATGAGAATGAAGTTTTATTTTACGTGTCTGTAAATTGAAAATGAAGATTTGATATTCTATGAATTAAGATAAGAATGCATCATGGGAATGAGAAAAGGAAGAATATTTAAAATTCATTCTAAGAACAATAACATTGCTAAATATATAATTATTTGTTTGAATCTTACTATGTAAATGTAAACAATGAAATAAGTCATTAGCCTACTAAAGATATCAAAAGCATGTTTACATCTTTATTATTTAGAACGTATGCATCCATTGTAGCAGTTGCTATTATGAAAATATATAACCGTTGATCATTTTTATCAATAATCGATGTTTTAAATCATTCTTTTCGAAATGATAGACATTGTTTCTACGTCGAGTTCTCTTTTTCACCAAATATTTATCTTAAATTGGACACAGTTCCCTGTATTTGATTGTTTGGTTCAAGATATTCATTTCTTTTTTTTTTCGAAATGCAGTAGAAGCCAAAATAATAACAATAGCAATTGTGATGGCAATGGCAATAAAAAACGAAATCCAACCAGAATTTAGTTACACAAGTTGATATTGAGCATAGCGTAACCCATTCAGTTATGCATTGGATTGTCTTAACTAATCAGTATCTGATTCCTTGTGTATTACTTTTTTTTCTTAGCACACTTCAATAAGAAATAGTTAATTTATGACACTAAATATGTTTTGGTTTTGTAAATAAAAAATAAATATATGTTTAAATCAAAGAACACGTTAACTTAAAGCGTAGTCCCTAGTTAAGCTGGTCATGGTCATATCTGACAATTAGACTCTCACTCCTTTTAATTCTCAATTTACTGATACTTCAATTCCAATCATTATCAAGCAGCCATTTATAATTATTTGTTGACAATTTGCCTTTTTTGGATAAGAAGAATTAAAATGGTCCCAACAGAATGACGTTTCGGTTTCCTATTTAGGAAATAGTCACCTGTTGCGTCAGAAAAATTATAAACGGTAATGTAGAATCTTGAAACGATACAGGTATCTATTTGGATCAGACCAACAAGACTGATTTCCAATCTAGGATCTTTAATCTTTAAATTCCAGTATTATAATTGACTTTAATGATTGGGTTATTTAAAATTTAAGAAGATATATGAAGATTTTCTTTAGAATTTTGAGGTACCACGTCAATTTTCACTGTTTGAGATCGAAGAATTTATTTAATAGTGCTATATGATTGAACTCATGAAGCCACTGTTTTATTTTTGTTGGACTAAAACACTATTATGAAGGATGTCCTTGGCACTTTGCTTCACTTTTGATAGAGGTTCTTGAGCGTTGAAGTTTCATAAGGAAAAGATTTAGGATCTTTCTCAAACGTTCATATACTCTTTCTTCAACTGTTAATAGGAACAACATTTATTGGAAAGGAATCAATAAAACTTAGTTAAGTCGTTCTTGTCGAGAATGGGAAAATCTTATGAGGTAATTTCCTGGTTTCGAAAATGGGGTTCTCAACTCTGTACCTAATTAAATGTTTCAAACCATACTTTAGAAAAAAATTTGAATGTTTTGTTCTTTCTCTTATTTACATATTTCTTGTCTTGAGAAGATTATCAACTTCCTTAACTTTGATTCAAGTCAAGAGATTCTTTAATAAAGTTATTGTCTCTCAATCAGATCTTTGAATGAACCCCACTTGATAATATGGTGACATTAAAGTACCTTTTGCCAACATAATATCGTGGTAAGTTTCAAAAAAGACTTTTTTTTTCAGAGCTATTCATGTATAACTCATTTCTTGAAAAGGGTTAACAATTTTGGTGAAAGCCACACACAAAATAAAAGGGTTTCGCATTTTTGGCCAAATGTTGTTAGTATTGTGATTGCAATTTAATTATCATCCGAAATCATAATGTAAAAAATGGCATATAAAGCAAAGTGACACATATTCAAATTTGTGACACTAAATAATATTGCTATTGTTGTAATCATTTCAGAAAATTTACAGGTATATAAATTGAATTAATTTATACTTAAAAAGGTTCTAGATTATTTAATTGTATAATCACTTTTTCTATAAACATTATTTGAGTTGTTATCTCTTTTGTAAGCAATTTTGGTTATGTGATTCCTTTTTGAATTTTTAGTTCTTGTTTTTAATTCTTGAAATAAATATATATAAATAGACACTAACAAAACTAAATACACTAGCTAGACATCATATTTCGCTTTCTGTAGAGACTAAAATACCAAGTCTACAAAGTAAAATATAAAACACTACGAATAACTAAATAGTCCAAAAGAAAGAAAGAAAAAAAAAATATTGAGAACATAGATATCAATTAAAAATCATTAACTCTTTCAAATTTAATTTCAAAGTTTTTTCCATTTCCCACTAATTCACATAACTTTTTGCGATGTCATTTTTTTCAAGAAGTCGTTCTACTGACTCTAAAAGCCGTGCTCCTGATTCAAAAAGTCGTCCAATAATTATATCTATTGAAACAGCAGCATCTTCTGCTCTACGTCATGCCACCGGTGACCTACGCAAGAAGAAAGTTGAAAAGGTAAAGGCTAAGAAAGTTGCAGCTCCAAAGAAAGTTAAAATTAGAAGGGACCCACCAGTAAGAGCCAAAAAAACTGCAGCCCATTTGAGATCATTACCAATTGTCCAACAGACTCAAAATGGTTTAAACAAACTTTCATTGACAAGAATAGTATACTCCGAAACTAAATATACCAGTTTAAAAGTAATTGACTCCAGATTTGTTCAATTCTTTGCACCATTCACAATCTTCACTGATGATGTCATGAATTCGGGTTTAGTTCTAGTAGAGACATTGGTACCATCTCTAAAGACTAAAACTTACAATAGACTCGGTGAAGAATTCATGTTCCCATATAACTTTGTAGCAACTTGGGTAAGTGGTGTTGCAAAGAAAGGTTATATTGCCTTTGAAAATAATTACCGTAAACCAGGTCATGATCAACTAGTCAGATATAGAAAATTCTACAACAAGAAATACATTAATACAAACGGAAAACCATTACTAAGAGGTATATTTGATCCTATATTTTTGCCAGCTAACAATATGTTTGAAAATTTGACAATTAAATTCTTACCTATTGGTAATAAAGTTCCATCTGATGGTTTCTGTTGTGAATTTGACAGAGGTTTTGCTTTGACTGGTAACTTTTTAGTTAGAGGAGCCACAGCAACTGGTAGACAAATAACTTCCCTGGTTTCAATGCCATTCATTTATATGAATCACATGAACAATGTCTATAATGACGAATTGGATAAAGAATTAAGAGTATCTTTCAGAAGCTCAATTAAAGCTTTAGGTAGAACTAATGTCTATTTAGAAACTGAAGCTATTGAAGCTTTCAAGAACAGCAGTACAGGTAAGTTATTCCAAAACAACGATGCCAAGAGAATTACTGACGCAGACACTTTATTGTCCGAAACACCAAAGGCTGAAGAAAATTCAAAAGTCGAAGAAACAAAGCCTCAGCCAGTGCCACTAAAGGAATATAAGTCCAAATCAGAAGAGTCTCTCTTGATTGAAGTTGCATAGCCAATCCCCAACTAATGACAAAAGAAAATTAAAGTCATTAATAATTTACTAATATTATAAAATTTTTTTTTTTGGATTTTTTTCTTTTATTTTTTTTTTTTGAATACAACTTATAATACCTCGTTAATGTTAATAAGAATTTTAAAATATGGTTCAGATTCAAAAGCATATATAGGATTGTATATATTATATAGATATGGCGTTTTATAACTAAAGTTTAAAAGATATTTTTTTGCGCAAAAAAAATTTATATATATATATAAATATTAGATTTAAAAAACAACAAGTTACAGGGGTTAAACTAACTTTCTAGTCAATCCCTAATGTTATCATAATAATGGCATACCTTTGTAATAATTCAACTCTTTCCCCCAACGTAGGTGTCCCTTGAACAATCCATAAAAGTATTAATATATAATTGCTAAGGCAAAATCTTTCTTCCACAAACCTGTCGTTGTGATCTCGTGACATTCTCACCAAGGGAAATATAATGAAGCAAAATCAAAGACAATTTAAAGTGACTGTTTTTTGAATTCTATTACACATCCGTGCATCATCACAAAACAAATCTTATTTCTTTTGAAGCCAACCCGATCCAGCAAAACTGCCAAATTTTAAGAGTATAGTTCGTGATAGTGAAAGCCCTTGACAAAAAGTACCATTTTTGCGTCATCGCGCGAAATCAATTCCAAAAAATAAAAAAACAACGTAGTTGTTTCGTGCCGGAATGCTCGGCGCGTGGTATCGCAGCCACAGTTTGTTTTCCTCTCTTTCCACTAAAAACAAACAATTTTATAAAACTTTCTCTCGCTGGAAGCAACTAAATGAACATTTCTAGACAGAGAGCTAACTTCACGCTCCTTCTAAAACCCTTGGATGCTTCCCACTAGGACTATAGTTCCTTTTCCTCTATTCTGCCCCGACATCTCAGCCTAAGTTTCTTCTCTCCAAACAACCACAAGCTGCCAAAAACTTGAAAAAGTTTCAATTTCGGTTAGAGAGGTTAGTGAGAGTGTGTGTCTCTCTTTTGCCCTCTCTTTCTACAATAACTAGTCTAAAACTACTGCCAAAACTCAATCTGAACCTAACTGAACTGAACATAGACACCATGCTGGTAACCAAAGTTAATCTGTCCATCTATCTATCTCTATCTATCTATGGATCCATCCATCATCCTATACTCATTGAAGGATTGAAGCGTCTTTAACTAATATCTGTTCCATCAAATAATATCCAACAAGCCATTCTCACAGGTCACACACAGGTCTGCTATTGTTAGGTTCGATTTGGTTTAGTTGGTCTTGTTTGCTTTAGTTTTGGCTTACTCTAGAGAGAGAGAGGTATTGGATGAGAATTAGCAATGCTATGGGTAAGAATTAATTCGTGAAACGTCGAGTTTCATTACTACAGTATGGGTATTATTGTCCTTGTTCTGGTAGAATCTTGTGTATATTGTCAGTTGGATCCTAATGGAATGGTCGTTGCAATTAGGATATCAAAATAGTGAATAGCCGTTAAAAGATGTGTATTAATAGTAATATCTTGCGTTATAAGAGCTCTTGATTTTGTTTTGGCTTGAAGTTCACCGTAATACAGGAAACAAAGTACCGAAAAAGTGAGTAAAATACTGAATACAATAAATAGTACAGTAATTGATAAATCCAGTTTGAAGCATTGCATAATGACATCGAATATTATTTGAAACGAGATAGAAGTGATGAAGAACAGTGGAACTAAACAGGATTGGAAACTCTGAAAAATTTAACGTTCCTTTGGTGTATATACATGTGGAAATGCAATCTTGAAATTATATATACATGTGGATTGGATTATATTAGAGTTCATACAGTTAATAATAACCTGGAAAATACTAATACCGAAATGAGACAACTACTGAATAGAATGGGAATATAATTATACTTCGAATGAGAGGATATTTAGCACTTTGAAGGTATACTTGGAGAGAACTATCGAGAAATTCGATACCAAACAACCCTAGTTATTAAATATGGAATTGCTTACACATGGATTTATTTAGTTACCATACTAATCGTTGATATTAACCGATAATGACAATTTTTTACTAACAATTAACTTAATAATATGCAAATATTATTTTTACTTTTATTTTTATAGTGGCTCATTTGAAAGAATACCAAGTCATTGGCCGTCGTTTGCCAACTGAATCCGTTCCAGAACCAAAGTTGTTCAGAATGAGAATCTTTGCTCAAAACGAAGTTATTGCTAAGTCTCGTTACTGGTACTTCTTGCAAAAGTTGCACAAGGTCAAGAAGGCTTCTGGTGAAGTCGTTTCTGTTAACCAAATTGCTGAAGCTCACCCAACCAAGGTTAAGAACTTCGGTATCTGGGTTAGATACGACTCTAGATCCGGTACTCACAACATGTACAAGGAAGTTAGAGACGTCACCAGAGTCGCTGCTGTCGAAACTTTGTACCAAGATATGGCTGCTAGACACAGAGCTAGATTTAGATCTATCCACATCTTGAAGGTTGCTGAAATTGAAAAGACCGCTGATGTCAAGAGACAATACATTAGACAATTCTTGACCAAGGACTTGAAATTCCCATTACCACACAGAGTCCAAAAGTCTGCCAAGACCTTCTCTTACAAGAGACCATCTACTTTCTACTAAGCTCAATATTAGATGTCATTTTATAAAAATTGAATTTCAGATTTTAATTTATCATTAGAATATGACATTCATCTATAATTTTATGTGTAACATGGTTTGTAGATTTTAAAAAATCGGATTAACAAGATAATTTTTTGGGAGGTTATTATGTAGTTGTACGTAGTTGAAGAGTTCAAAAATGGTAATTTTTGATCCCATATTAAAAAGAATTAGTTTGGTGACATAAAAGTAAACGCCATATTTATATTCAAACTTTTCTTCTCATTGCAAGTTTGGTTTTAATGGCGGTCACTTATTCTTTTTTGTCTATAAAGCTCAGAAAAAGCAACCTTGAGTGTGAAGAGATTAGTACATATTATGGCAGTATTTAGTTGCTGCTTTTGTCCTGAAAATTGGTTTTTGCTTCACAGGATGTAAAGCTATATTGGAGATCTATATAATTGAAAATAAAAGTCCCCCTTCCCCCACGCCCACACAGTTGTTGAAACAATGGTCGAAACTTCAACAAGAGTAAACCATATACATATTTCTCTTGACTACAGTTGTCATATCAGTAACTTAATTCATATTACCTCAACAGGTTTACGAGCAATGATAACAGAACACATCCAAAATTGCCTATGAAATCCTTTCTGCCGCATTCATAGTTTTAAAAAATTTTCAAATTAGAATGAAGTCTCTCCCAGATAACTGAAATATTCACTTGCTCGAACTAAAAAAATACAGTAGTATAAACTTAAAATAACATTATAAATTATTGTAATTTAGGTTAAACTTGAATGAATTTACGTCATTTGCTCATCGATAGCTAATGTTGCTTGCTACTCCTCTTGCTCTTGCTTCATCTTTTTTTTCCTTCTATCTCCATTGTCTTCCTGTCGTTTCTTTTCTCCAAAGAGTTTTTCCGGAGAATTTAGTCTTTTTGGTTTGTCGAGACAAAAAGAAACAACGCCAAAAATAAAAATAAAAAAGTTAAGAAGCTTAAAGTCGAAAACGAAAACGAAAACGAAATTGAAAACGAAAATGAAAATAAAGAAAGCTCACCTAAATGGATATTGATTTCGATTCGAAACTAGTATAGCATAAAGTTAGTTATTTTATTGATCTAAGGTATATTTTCAACGTTTATAAGGTTGTAGTTATCAATTGAGAAGCAGAGTAAGGTTCTGAATTTAATTGGGTTGGTGTTTTTTTGGGTTGAACTTTTATTTTTGAGCTTTTTCTGTTTTTGTTTTACAATACTTGATCTATGCAGAAAAATAAACAAATATAACGTTAGATAAATTGATCTTATATAAAATTATTCCGCTGAATTATAGTTTTATTTGCTAGTTATTATTCATCTGTAATAGTTTTTGTATTTTTGTTGTTGTTGTTTTTCGCTACATTAGCCATATATCTTTAGATCAAACACTATTTTACATTGCTTTTTTCTATTACTACTATAATTAGGATAGAAATAAAAGGGGAAGAAAAAAATAAAAGTAGGCGGTAATTGCCAATTCATACATATATATATATATATATATATATCTTCCAGCCTGTAGATGATTTCTACTCAGAGTAGCACGACTGCCTCAAGGCGTAAATCTTCAGCTCATAAAAATCTTTGTGACCCGAATTTATTGGATATCCCAGAGGCGTCTAAAAATTCATTCCATTCTAGATAAATGTCCCTTTAGGGAGAATTCTAATTTCAAAAATATGGACACTGATGTGAAAAAATTCTTTAGACTTTTAAAAATAAATTGATTTAGGTATTGAAATTTGATCTGAAATAAATTATTCCAGAAATTGTGTTAAATTTCCTTATTAGGCCTTTTTGGGTCGGTGCTTCTGCGGTTTCAGTAATTTTTGGAAGGGCATTTTAAAATTTGTTGGGACCCCAGGTGTTTTATCGGAATTAGAGTTTATTACAGGTGATTTCTCGGAAATTTTCGTTACGTAGAAGAATTTTTCGAAAGCTTGTTTTGGATAACGAATTTGGTAACGTTAAGGATTTCCGTGGGGGGTTTCAAGTTCCAAAGGGGTTTTAACGGTGTGTGTAAATATTGGAACGGGAAATTCATTTCGTGTTTCCAGGGGGTGTTCAATTTGTGGAGATGATCTAAAGCCGTGAAACAGGTTGTTGTCCTCCAGAGGTATCCTGTACGTGGGTATGAGTTAAAGATATGTGTTTTGTGACCTGGGGTTCACGGAATCTGTGTTTCTGATAAGAGGCAATTCGATAATCTATAGGGNGTTGTTCTGACTGCTCTGTCG